CTCCGCCTCCTCAGGCGAGGAGGTCTCAGCAGGCGAGGCTTTCTTGGCTGCTGCTCGTTTGGCGCCCGATGAAGCGGCTGCAGGCGTTTTACTTTTCTTCACAGCTGACGGAACTACAACAAAGAGAAAGAAACAGGAAGTAGATCTTTGAGATGATGATTCAGATGTTATTGAGTCATGTTTCCACACAAAGTACGAAGAACATTAAAGGAGCAGTATGTAACTCTGACACCTAGTGTTTAAAATGGGTACTGCAGTCCAGAATCTAAACATCATAGAGAGCTGTCTCCCCCCTCCTCTCTAGAGTGGATGCTCACTCAGGTCACCATGTGGTGGACTCTGAAGCTTCAGTGTTTATCCAGCTCTGCATGGGTCTGTAAACCTTTCTGTGTTCTAACCTCTCTCCATTTTTCAAAAGCATCTCCAATATTGATCCTAGTTTGAGCACGTTTCTGCTCGTGGAGCTTATTAGAAACATGCAGAGGCTTTTTAGGTCGGGTACAATCACTTCTATCTGAACCACTTCTCTTGACCGCTTCCATCGCTGCAACACCTGTTGACCTGATAACTGCTCTCATATCTGGACAAACGAGGGGCGTCTAAAACGGCCGTGTGGGGGCGTGTCTTAAAAGCGCCTACCTTCTCTGGTCCAAACAAATCCAGAGCATTCAGGAGCAGAATCTAAAGTTAGAAGGAGGACATACTGGCTGCTGCGTTGTTGTTCATGATCCATGTGGTACCTTTAGGGCTGGAGGAAGAAGCTGCTGCAGCCGCCATCATCCACGCAGGTAAAACTCTCCTCTTGTGTTTGAACGGACTGACTTCACCTGGAGCAGCCTTCCTTTCTGTAGGTGGAGGCGACTCTGTCTGCATGATGGGGGGGGGGGGGGCGACAAACAGATATCAGCTGCTGCAAGAACTAAAACTGATCCATGTTTCAGATCCTGGTCAAGAACTTCCTGCATGTCCAACACTGCTGTCTAAACATTTAGTTACAGAAGGTTTCTTCAGAAATGGCGGCGATGTAACTCTCCGGGGTAACGTCGTTTACTTGTTTTCTTGGTCTAATTTTTAACTGTACGGGTCTAAAGTTTACAAACCTTGTTCAGACTCGTGGGCAGATCTTCAGATTCCTCGATGTGTAACGGAGCAGCTGCCTCAGGCTCCTCCTGAGGCTGTTCTCTGTCCTGACCAATAGGAGGAGGAGGAGGCTCCACATCTGGCTGAGGTGAAACCGGACGTTCCTCTTTCTTCTTCTTCTTCTCCAAACAGCTGGCTGTTTCTAAAGGAAGTGATATTTGAAAGAAGACAGAAGGAAAGATAATTTAATATAACGAGAGAATAAAGTCTGAACAGTTCAGGAAGAAGTCAAACTGTCAGGAGAAACACGTCTGACGATATTCTGAGGGGGGCGCTGTACTTTGAGTCCGTGGTCAGAGGGACGACATCAGCCGGCCGCGTGCACTTACACGAGGAAGAAAGTCATTTCTGCTGATACGTTTTCTAAAGTGTAACTTCATTTGATTCATGCAGCTTCCTGCTCTCCTGATGGTCTCCTTCAAAAATGACTTTTTCTCATCATCATAATTCGATTGTTGCCCCTTAACTTTACAACTTTAACATCAAAACATGACCAATTTTTGATCTTATGATGACTTTGTTCACATGAAATTACAAATGTACTGTCGTCAGGGATGTGCGCGTTTAGTCGACTAAACGGTTAACGCCATCATCTCCGCTCGTCGGCACCAGAGTTACGTCAGCTGAACGACTTATTCATATTTTCATATCTTCTTCTCCTTCGATGGCGCTCAAATGTTAGCAGGGGCTGTAGCCACAGACGGGCAGTAGCTCCGATTAACGGGCCTGCGCTCCTCGCTCTACTTCCTGGATGTAAACGAGCACAGTGAACGGACAACATGTTGTAGGAGCGGAGCGGGTGGGAGTGTTTTGATCTAGAAGATGTTATGGTATAACTGATATTAATTCTTCACGAGTCAGGGCTCGACATTATAACTGGCCCAGATGAAAATACTGCCTGACAAAAGAAAAATAGACAGTAACACGTTCTGAATTTCACAGCGCTTTCCTGTCATACCGGTGTTTTGTCAGTAATTATCTTAAAAACGTTGCGCTGGAACACGTTAAAGTTAAAGACTAGATCCTGCTAAAGATAAGTAATTCACAAAGCATCTTAGCCCTTAAGAGAGCTCCTAAAGTAAAGATGTAAGGATGAAGAGTTTCTCACAGAGAAGAAAGAAGGAGAGATTCAGATCTATCACAGCCTCATATTAATATCACATTAAGTAGACTCTTACAGTTAGCAGCATGGTGAATAAATATATGTTTATAATTAGAGCTCAATTAATGAAATAAAAGTTGTAATTTAATCTCGCATCAGAATGGTTCAAGAGTAAATTGGTGACTGTTATTCTTCAAATCAAAAGTAAAGTTCCTGGGCCAGTGATCTTTGAAAACCAGTGGCCCATTTAGCTTAATGTCAAGCCCTGCGTGTATCAGCTGGTTTGAACAGAGGAGACATGAGCTCCAGTGACCTTCTCTGCTCCTTTGATCTTCAATCAGAGCGTAACTCTCAGAGCGTAACTCTCAGATCATGACGACGACACTCGTCTCATTTCTCCCTCATTTTGCCTCTTCCTTTTATGTTGAGTCAACAGACAACATTTAAATGAGACGGCGTTTGACCCGCCTGCTCTGTGAAGACAAAAGACACGAGGTGCAGCCTCTTCTGTCTGGATTTAATTATCGTCTCAGACGCCGTGGGCAGTGAAGGAGAGTCCTGTTTTGATCTTGGAGTGCTTTTAGAGCGCTCTTACCTGGGAGTGCGTTCTTCTTCTTCTTCCTCTCCGCCCACGGCCACCACCTCGTACATGAACTGCCCGGGCAGCAGAGAGAAAACGTCTCCATGACGGAGAGGGTACCAGGAGCCTTTCTGCAGAGGTCGAGGGTCATCGGCCGGGGACGACTGCATGAAGCACGGGTTGAAGTGGGTCTGAAGATAAAGAAACACAAATCTCAGGTAAATGTTTCATATGGGGACGGGGGACGGGGACGGGGGGAGACGGGTGATGGGGTAGAGACTGTGGGGTGACATGCAGCAAAAAGGGTGGAGGTCAGATTCGAACCCCTGACGGCTGCGCTAGGACCACCGCGGGCGTCACAACCACAACCACAGTGACCCGTGACAGGACTCCATCCCAGCAGTCCAGACGGGGAGGTTATGAAGTGAAACAGAATTGATCTGCCCCCCCCCCCCCCCCGGTGTGATGTCATAAGGTCAATGTGTGAGGTCAATGTGTGAGGTCAATGTGTGATGTTATAAGGTCAGTGTGTGATGTCATAAGGTCAGTGTGATGTCATAAGGTCAGTGTGATGTCATCAGGTCAGTGTGTGATGTCATAAGGTCAGTGTGATGTCATAAGGTCAGTGTGTGATGTCATAAGGTCAGTGTGATGTCATCAGGTCAGTGTGATGTCATCAGGTCAGTGTGTGATGTCATCAGGTCAGTGTGTGATGTCATCAGGTCAGTGTGATGTCATCAGGTCAGTGTGATGTCATCAGGTTAGTGTGTGATGTCATCAGGTCGGTGTGTGATGTCATCAGGTCAGTGTGATGTCATCAGGTCAGTGTGTGATGTCATCAGGTCAGTGTGTGATGTCATAAGGTCAGTGTGTGATGTCATAAGGTCAGTGTGATGTCATCAGGTCAGTGTGATGTCATAAGGTCAGTGTGATGTCATCAGGTCAGTGTGTGATGTCATCAGGTCAGTGTGATGTCATCAGGTCAGTGTGTGATGTCATAAGGTCAGTGTGATGTCATAAGGTCAGTGTGTGATGTCATAAGGTCAGTGTGTGATGTCATCAGGTCAGTGTGTGATGTCATAAGATCAGTGTGATGTCGAGGTCAGTGTGATGTCATAAGGTCAGTGTGTGATGTCATAAGGTCAGTGTGATGTCATAAGGTCAGTGTGTGATGTCATCAGGTCAGTGTGATGTCATCAGGTCAGTGATTGATGTCATCAGGTCAGTGTGTGATGTCATCAGGTCAGTGTGTGATGTCATAAGGTCAGTGTGTGATGTCATAAGGTCAGTGTGTGATGTCATAGGTCAGTGTGTGATGTCATCAGGTCAGTGTGTGATGTCATAAGGTCAGTGTGTGATGTCATCAGGTCAGTGTGTGATGTCATAAGGTCAGTGTGATGTCATCAGGTCAGTGTGTGATGTCATCAGGTCAGTGTGTGATGTCATAAGGTCAGTGTGTGATGTCATCAGGTCAATGTGTGATGTCATATAGGTCAGTGTGTGATGTCATAGGTCAGTGTGTGATGTCATCAGGTCAGTGTGTGATGTCATCAGGTCAGTGTGTGATGTCATCAGGTCAGTGTGTGATGTCATAGGTCAGTGTGTGATGTCCAGGTCAGTGTGTGATGTCATCAGGTCAATGTGTGATGTCATCAGGTCATGTGTGATGTCATAGGTCAGTGTGTGTCATCAGGTCAGTGTGTGATGTCATCAGGTCAGTTGATGTCATCAGGTCAGTGTGTGATGTCATATCATAAGGTCAGTGTGTGATGTCATCAGGTCAGTGTGTGATGTCATAAGGTCAGTGTGTGATGTCATCAGGTAGTGTGTGATGTCATCAGGTCATGTGGTGATGTCATCAGGTCAGTGTGATGTCATCAGGTCAATGTGTGATGTCATCAGGTCAGTGGTGTGATGTCGTCATCAGGTCAGTGTGTGATGTCATCAGGTCAGTGTGTGATGTCATCAGGTCAGTGTGTGATGTCATAAGGTCAGTGTGTGATGTCATCAGGTCAGTGTGTGATGTCATCAGGTCAGTGTGTGATGTCATAAGGTCAGTGTGTGATGTCATCAGGTCAGTGTGTGATGTCATAAGGTCAGTGTGTGATGTTCATCAGGTCAGTGTGTGATGTCATAGGTCAGGTGTGTATGTCATCAGGTCAGTGTGTGATGTCATAG